GGGATTGCTGCGGCGGCGCGGCGAGCGTCGGCCTCACGAGGCCGCGGGTGCCTCGGCCGCTCAGCGCGGGTAGGACTCAGGGTGCGGATGGCGCCGCGACGACTGGTTGGGATCGATCGTCGGCGCCCGTGGAGCGACGCAGCGCCTCCTCGTGCCGACGATGGTGAGCCCGTCTCCGGAGGAGCTCTGGGCAGCGCTGAGGCCAGGAGTGCCGAGGGCGCCAGCGTTCTCGTCCGTGTCCTCGTCGCTGGTGGCCTCGGCGGGCTGCGCCGCCGGCGCCAGCGCCGCCTCCTGCGCCGCCCTCTTGGCCGCCCTCTTGCGCGCGTGCTAGCCGGCCCTGCCCCCGCCAACCGCGCCGCGCCGGCGCCAGGGGCCTTCGCCAGGTGCTCCTCGCCAGGGCCGCCGCAACCCTGCCGCTGTTCGTGCAGCTCCGCGCGGGAAGCGGTGGGGTTGTACCTGCTGCCCCCGCCAGCGCCGTGCTCGCTGTCCTGGCCGTCGTGCTCCGCGTGGTGCGCCTCGGCCGTCCCTGCGGCCTGGTCGTTGAAGTAGCTCTTCTGGTTGCCCAGCTTGGCGTGGAACCCAGTGGGGTTGTACCTGCTGCCCCTGCCAGCGTCCTGCCCGCTGTCCTGGCCGTCGTGCTCCGCGTGGTGCATCTCGGCCGTCTCCGCGGCCTGGTCGTCGACGCGCTGTCCCGCCCCGTGCTTCGAGTCGTGGTCGTCGTAGCGCTGCTGCTTGCCCAGCGCCGCTTGCAGTCCGGTGGGGTTGTACCCGCTGCCCCCGCCCGCGCCGTGGTCGCCGCCCTGGCCGCCGCGCTCCGCGTGGGGTGCGCGTCGGCCGAGCCCGCGGCCTGGCCGTCGAAGCGCTTCTCCGTCGTGGGGTCCGCGTCGCGGCCGTCGTAGCGCTGCTGCTTGCCCAGCTTCGCGTGGGGTGTGCTGTGGCTGTGCCTGCTGCCCCCGCCAGCGCTGCGCTCGCTCTCCTGCTCGTCGTGCCCCGCGCGGTGCGCCTCGGCCGCCCCCGCGGCCTGGTCGTTGAGGTAGCTCTTCTGGTTGCCCAGCTTGGCGTGGAACCCAGTGGGGTTGTGACTGCTGCCCCCGCCAGCGCCGCGCTCGCTCTCCTGCTCGTCGTGCTCCGCGTGGTGCGCCTCGGCCGTCTCCGCGGCCTGGTCTCTGTAGCTCTTCTGCGCCCCGGGCTCCGCGTCGTGGCTGTAGTAGCTGTGATGCTCGTCCAGCTTCGCGTGGGGTCTGGAGGGAGTGCGCCTGCTGCGTCCGCCACCGCCGCGCTCGCAGCTCAGCTTGAAGTGCGGCGCACCGTGTTGTGCGGTAGAAACAGTGGGAGCACGCACGGGGGGACGAGCTGCCGGGCTTCATGGTTGTGGGGTGTAATATCCGTAAGGGCTTCGCCCCATGCCGCTGGCCCCCTGTCTCGGATAATGGGAGATGCAAAAGCTAAATCATGAGGTCTGGGCGCCGCCGTGAAGCAGTGTCGGGACCTGTTTGTTTTTCGACCCTGGCCCCGCTGATCTGCATGAGGGGTGCCACCGGATTTCAGAAATGTTGCAAATGCTATTGTTTTTATTGACCCTGCATTGCGGATCTGCGAAAGGGGTGCCACCGAATTTCAGAAATGTGGCACATCCCCTGTGTTTTTGGACCCTGGCCCCGCCGATTTGCGTGAGGGGTGTAACCGAATTTCGACCATTTTGCACATCCTGTGTGTTTTTGGACCCTGACCGCGCCGATCTGCGTCAGGGGTGCCACCGAATTTCAGAAATGTTGCAAATGCTATTGGTTTTATTGACCCTGCACTGCGGATCTGCGTAAGGGGTGCCACCGGATTTTAGAAATGTGGCACATCCCATTGATTTTGGACCCTGGCCCCGCCGAATTGCATTCGGGGTGGCACCGAATTTCAGAAATGTTGCAAATCCCTTGTGTTTTTAGACCCTGACCCCGCCGATCTGCGTGAATGGTGCCACCGAATTTCAGACATGTTACAAATCCCTTGTGTTTTTGGACCCTGACCCTGCGGATCTGCGTGAGGGGTGATAATTTTACCCCCCCCCAGAAATTCTGAGAACCCTCCCAGGGCGTGGTAGTTCTGCTGGTTTGGGCTCTCCCCCCTCGCGCGTTCATCAACAAGGAACAGTAAGCAGCAAGAAGCAGAACTGTAACAGTGGAAGCTGTAAGCTGCAACTGCTACAGGGAGCAGCACATTCCCGGCCTGCAGCCTGGTGGCCCCGCACGGGGGCCAGCGGATTTGCTGGTGTTGTCGCTGTGCCCTGCTCGCATTTTGACTGCAGTTGCGACAAATTGTCATTCCAGCTCGGCCAGAAACTGTTGGATTCCAGGGGCAGTGACGTGCCGAAGGAAATCGAATGCACTGCCAAGGCTGGAGATTTTCTCGCAGAGATGGCTCGATACCAACCCAGCCCGCTGCGCAAGCCGTGCGCCTTGCTGCAGCTTCTGGAGGTGCGACCCAAGAGCATTGGATAGGCGACGCAAAGCGGTCACATGGACGTCCAGGACAAGATCCGCCATGCGCCCTTGGAGGCGGGGACCCACATAATATGACGTAGACAGTGTTCTAACAACACGGGCCCATGCCTGAGCCAACCCGCTGGCCAGCGCTTGAGCCAAAAATGGCTGCGGGCGCTCCTCCTCCTCCTCCTCCTCCTCCTCCTCCTCCTTCTCCTCCTTGTCCTTCTCCTCCTCCTCTCCTCGTCCTCCTCCTCGTCCTCCTCCGCCGCCTCCTCCTCCTCCCGGGATTGCAGCCGGGCCTCCCTGCTGGGCAGGTGGCCCGTGCTTTTCTATTTTCAGCAGGTCTGCACGTTGGCCTGCCTTTCCCTGTCCTCCCGCTCCCCCTGCCGTTGCGCTTCGCCTGCCGTACCCCGCCGCCCTCTCTTGCCCTTCGTCGTGCTCTGCTGCCCCTTCCCTCGCTCGCGCTCCTGCCCCTCTCTTTGCTGCTCTCCGCTTCCGCCCTGCTCCTCGCTGCCGCCCGCGTCCCTCTTCCTGATGCTCCTGCCGCTCGTCGATCCGTCCTGCGCTGGCGGCTTGCAAATGGCGGCTGATTGAGTCCCCTCGCCTCCGTCGTCTCTTCCTCTCATGCTCACGAGATACCAGCTGCACATTGAACAGCTCTGGGGATGCAGGCTTCTTGCATCGTGTTTGTGTCAATCATGGGGGATCAGATGTGTACTTACCGAGGTCGCATTTCGGGTCGGATGGGCACGAGTAAGAGACGGTTCAGTGCCCTGTCTCTGCCTCGCAGACCTGCCACGTACGTGATTTTGGCGGGCAGCCACGTCCCTGAGTAGCACCTGTCAGGGGTGCGCCGAAACGGGCTGGGGGCGCATGCGATGCGAACTCCGGACTTGGGGCCTGGTGGCACCACACGGCGAGGTGTGCGCCAAAGCTGGTTCGTTGGCACATGCGAACCTTGGAACTGGTCCCTTCGGTGGGGCTCCTCACGGGTCACAAACCGTGTAGGCGGTGCTCCGAAACGCCACAAGACGTGACAGCAACCAGCGACGCCAGCACATGGCGTACCGTGGAATTGGTGCCGTGGGTGGATCTCCCCATGGGGCGCGCACCATGTGAGAGGTGCGCCGAACACCAACCTTGGAATTGGGTCTTGGAGGGATATCCCCACGGGCCACGAGACGCGTGAGGGACACTAGCGAGGGGGCCGCATGCGTACCGTGGAACTGGTTCTTCGTTGCCTCTCGGTAGGTCAGGGCGTGCGGAGAGTGCTGAAAGTGTTGGGGGGGGTACGGTGTGAAGCGTCCGCGCTGAGGACGAGGACCCACGTGCACTTGGACCCGCAGCAGTTGTGCGCGTGGGTCCTTGCCGCCCAGCGCTTCCCCCATGTTCACCCCTCCCCCCCTCTGACTCCTAATCCCAAGCTTGAAATTTACACACGTATTCTTGTAATTCTTCCATTGTTATTGATTCATTACACTAATATGGCCATGTATTATCATTCAATTCAACAAATGGGTGGACTTCCCCATTGGGGCCCGACGCGTGTCGGCGGCGCGGCGGAAACGGCGGGGGGGTGGGGGGGGCGCACGGCGCACGCGCGAAGCCTGGAGCGGAGGCCCTGGGTGCGCCGGGCTGGACGAGTGGGCACCTGCAAACCTTGGCATTCAGGTGGGGCTCTCGGGGGTCGGGCCGGGCGAAAGGGGGGATTGGGAAAGGGGGGGTTACGAAATTTGCTGCGTGCAGCTGGTTGTGGCCTCACCGAGGGGCCCATTCCTCGATACATAGTCGCCTCCGGCGCCGGGAGGCTCCTGGAAAATCAGCTACGTGAGCTGATTCTCAAACCCCCCCTTTGCTATCCCCCCCTTTCGCCCGACCCGAAGGGGGCACGCACCGTGCGAGAGGTCAGAGAGGTGCGCCAGCATCGGCCTTGGCAAAGCAGGGGCAGGGATGCGAGGGAGGAGGGGAGGGGGGGGAATGGGGAGACTGCCTGCCGCGGCACGGCGGGTTCACAGCGAGTCTCCAATGACACAGGAGGGTCAGAGAAAGCAGGAGGAGGGGAAGAGGAGGGATGCGGGGGCCAGGAGGAGGAGGAGAAGCAGGCGCGACCGCGCGGCGCAGCGAGGTCAACATGAGGGCCCAATTTCATCACATGATGGTTCGGGAGCAGTGTGTTCATGCTGTGGGGGGGGGGCTTCCATGCGTGTTCCTCGAAACCGTCTAATCAGTATAGGCTGTGGTGACCAGGCTTGAGGGCCAAACATGCCCAGGGGCATGACTGGATCTCATCGGCGGCTGGAGGACCGGAGGGCGCGACACCGAGCGGAGGATGGTGCGAGTCCGCGCAGCTGTGATGACAAGCGGGTTGCCCCGCATGCCTATGGGGTCGTCGGAGTCCTCTTTAACGGGACACATGTGTCTCGGGTGACGCTCCCCCGACGCCTCTGAGGGTAGTATGGGGACAGGGCGGCCAGGAGTGCATTGCCTCAGACTTCTGATCCTGATCTTGCCACCGTCTCTGAGGCCACAGCACGAGCACTGCACTCCGCAGTGCAGTTATAAGTGCGACGAGCCGCAGTGCGACGAGGAGTGCCACCAGGAGTGTGAGAGCCCGACCTGCCAGACTCGGTGCAGCAGCGTCGACCTGTCCGAGTGCAGGACAGTGGGGCGTTCCAGAAATGTTTGTCTACGCGGGATTGGGCAGTTGGGTTCTCCTCCTCGGCGGAAGGCCAGCGGAAGGCTGGCGTACGCCAGCGGAACTTTTGCTGGTGCGTTTCCGATGCGGAAGGCTTGCGGGCGCCTACGGATGTAAAAGTAGCCCCCCCGTTCCCCCAGAGATGCCGTTATGTTCAAAACCATCGGAATTTTGAGTCGAAATCAGGGAATTCAGGGTTTCGTGGACGCCCCGACTACAAGTGGTGATGATGCCTTCGTATTGTCTTCTGGTCTGGGGGAACGGCTCATTTGTTATGCTCTTCTTACCCTTCGTCTTCCTGCTCGTCCTCCGCCTCACTACCCGCGCAACGGTTTTGATGACGTCATGTTTTCTCTAGGCCTGGAAGGGTGAGTCCAGCGCGGCCGCAATTAGAGGGGTTCGCTGTGCCGAAGATATTACAGCGCAGCGCATTCGCCAGCCAGATCATCCTGGTAAGTTACATGGCTGTGTCTCCACTGCTTGATAATTGCATTGCTCTGCAAGCCACAGCCGTGCGCAACAGACGCAAAAATACAATGCAATGTGGCGCAAGTCATTTATGGCAGCAGCTTTCCCGCACAGTGGTCAGTGAGAAGTTTCGCGCATGCACCCAGGGGGCCAAGAGTCTTCAAGATTATCCAAGAGGGCCCTTGGAGAGCCCATGACAGTCCCAGCGCGCTCCCAAAGGCGCCCCAAGACGGCCCAAGAGGCCCCCAGGCGGGCCCTCAACGAGTACTGGGAGGAACAGCGGAGGAAGCAGCCTTGAGAAAGGAGGGGTGTGGGAGGTGTGGGGCGACCCTAGGACGGCTCACATTCCGCGCAGTAGGACACTGGCATGCACCCGAGTGTGCTGTGTTGTTGTCTTGCGATGCGCTAGAGCCAGGCTAGAGCCAGAACGAGCGTGAAGCGCGCGCGCCCGCGGGTCTGTGTGTTTCAATGTTTGCGGGTGGTCGATCCGATGCAATACTTCCAAGACTTCAATACCTTCAAAGCTGTCATGTTTCCCGAACCTTCAGTACTTCCAATCTGTCTCTTTCCTGTCAATGCTTGCAGTGCCACGACCGCTCCTGCTCTTCGTGCTGCCTTCTGCCTTCCCATGAAGCGCACTGCTGCCCTGAACCCTCTCGGAGAGACTTCCGCAGCGGAGCAGAGTTCGTGATCCCATGGGCAAGCAAGTGTGGCACCACCGTGTGCCGCCCCTGCAGGATGAACTGCGGCAAGCAGCACTGCGCAGTCATATGCCCCGAGGTCACGTGCATGGAGGAGGGGCCCGGCCTCGCCGCCGCGCCGCTCCCTTGCGCACCCGGTCTTCTCCTTTGTTTGCACCGTGGCACCACGTGCTCCCATTCAGCCTCTTTTCCTTGCTCCTCCCTGATTGTAGTGCATCCCTCCTCCTCTCCCTCCCTCTCCCTGCCACCCCCTCATGCGACCATCTATCTCCGAGTGCCTTCCCCAAGTCCGACCGCCCTGCCGACGCTCCTTGCCCCTCCGCTGCCAGCCTCCCTCCCTCCCTGTGGAGGGAGGGGGCCTGTGCCACTGGGTGCCCTTCCCGCGAACACAGGCGGGCTGCACCCCGGTCGTCGCCCCAGGTTCGCCCGTAGGGGCCAGGGAGAAAGGAAATGGGCCCCTCGTCCTCCTCCTCCTCCTCCTCCTCCTCCTCCTCCTCCTCCTCCTCCTCCTCCTCCTCCTCCTCCCCCTCCTCCTCCTCCTCCTCCTCCTCCTTCTCCTCCTCCTCCTCCTCCTCCTCCTCCTCCTCCTCCGTCGCCACGGTTGCCCACCCCTGGCGGTGGCCTACCAGATGCTCCGCCTGGGCTCGGGCGGTTGGGGGGTCCCCTGCGGGGGGCTCACTGGAGGGGTCCACACCCGTCCTTCCCACAGCCAGGGTGCCCCACTTTCGCGCGTGTGGGTGTCTGCGCCCGGCGGAGTGATGCCCCTCGGGTGGCCTGGGGCGGCACGACCCGGGTGGCGCGTCGTCGTCTGAGCGGGCACGGCTCCAGAAACGGCCGGGCTGCATGTAGCTCGTTCTCGCCAGTGGCATGCTTGTGGCACGCCTCGGAGCTGTGCAGGAGCTGGGTTCCACGAGCGGCCGCGTGGTTTTTGTTCAGCTCATCTTCTCGTTGTGCCCCAGGGGCCCTGGCTCCTGCATGCGCGGCCGGGCGTGCCCGCGAGTGCGGAGCGTCGCGCCGCGTGCAGCTCTGCGAGAGAGCTCCTGCTGCGGGGGCCTGTGGCCGTAGAGGTTGACACATCCCGCGAACGGAGAGGGGGATCAGGAGGAGGAGGCGGAAGAGGAGGAGGAGGCGGAGGCGGAGGCAGAGGCGGGGGATGAGGAGGAGGGGGAATGATGATGATGATGCTGCTGCTGATGATGATGATGATGATGATGATGCAGATGATGATGCTGATGATGCTGATGATGATGCTGATGATGATGATGCTGATGATGATGATGATGGTTATGATGATGATTATGATGATGATGAGGAGGAGGAGGAGGAGGATGCTGATGATGATGCTGATGAGGATGATGAGGATGATCAGAGTGAAGTGGTGATCATGATGCTGATGATGATGGTGGTGGTACTGTGGATGCTGCTTATGATGATGCTGCCCATGCTGCTGCTGATGATGACGATGATGATGTTGATGATAATGATGGTGAGGCATGGTGATAACGCGGATGCTGATGATGATGATGCTGCTGCTCCTGATGCTGGTGCTGATGATGTTGATGATGTGGATGCTGATGCTGATGCTGATGATGCTGATGCTGATGCTGCTGATGCTGATGCTGATGCTGCTGATGCTGATGATGATGGTGCTGATGATGATGATGATGATGATGATGATGATGATGATGATGATGATGCTAATGCTGATGCTGATGCTGATGCTGATGCTGATGCTGACGAGGATGATGATGCAGATGATGTTGATGGTGGTGATGATGATGATGATGATGATGATGATGATGATGAGGAGGAGGAGGATGATGATGATGATGATGATGATGATGAGGATGCTGATGATGATGAAGATGCTGATGGTGGCGGTGGTGGTGATGGTTGCGGTGGTGGTGGTGGTGGTGATGATGATGAGGAGGAGGAGGAGGAAGAGGAGGAGGAGGAGGAGGAGGAGGAGGAGGAGGAGGAGAAGGAGGGGGAGGAGGAGGAGGAGGAGAGGAGAGAGGAGGAGGAGGAGGAGGAGGAGGAGGGAGGAGCAGAGGTGAGGGGAGGAGAGGAGGAGGAGGAGGAGGAAGATTGAAAGGGTTAGGAGGAGGAGGGAGGAGGAGGAGGAGGAGGAGGAGGAGGAGGAGGAGGAGGAGGAGGGGCAGAGGAGGGAGGAGGAGGAGGAGGAGGAGGCTGAGGAGGAGGAGGCGGAGGAGGAGGAGGAGGCGGAGGAGGAGGAGGAGGAGGAGGAGGAGGAGGAGGAGGAGGGGAGAGGGGGGACGGGGGGGCTGTCTCTTCAAATCGAGGACCCGACACCACAGGATGGTTGCGGGAAAAAACACCTGAAAAGGTTTCCTGTGGTGTTTCTCGCGGGGCCAGAGAACCACCGTCAATAATCTGTTTGTAGCACTTCCCTGAAAGGGTTGTTATCGTGGTGTCATTGGGGGGACCGGAGAAAACTTCCAGCACGAACCCGAACAACCCGAAGTGCCCCCCCCCCCACCAAAAAAACACACCTGGAGACAAAGGGGTGCGCCCGCCAAGTGGAGGTGTGCCAGAGTGGAGGGGGGGCGGCATGCGAACTATGCCACTAGGGCCCTCGGTGGAGCTCGCTCTGGGGCCACGAAGCGTGTGAGGGGTCTGCCAGAGTGCACGGAGGGGGTGGGGTCACGCGAACCATGCCGCTGGAGCCTTCAGTGGAGCTCCCGATGGGGCCACGAAGCGTGTGAGGGGTGTGACGTGCCAGAGTGGAGGGGGGGCGGCATGCGAACCATGCCACCAGGGCCTTCGGTGGAGCTCCCTATGGGGCCACGACGCGCGTGAGGGGTGTGCCAAAATGGAGGTGGGGCGGCATGCAAACCATGCCACTGGGGCCTTCTGTGGAGCTCCGCTTGGTGCTGCGAATCGTGTGATGAGTGTGCCAGAGTGGAGGGGGAGCGGCATGCGAACCATGCCACTGGGGCCTTCAGTGGAGCTCCCTGTGGGGCCACGAAGCGTGTGAGGGGTGTGCCAAATGAAAGGGGGGGCGGCATGCGAACCATGCCACTGGGGCCTTCGGTGGAGATCCCTATGGGACCACGAAACGTGTGAGGGGTGTGCCAAATCAACAGGGGAGCGGCATGCGAACCATGCCACTGGGGCCTTCGGTGGAGCGCCCTATGGGCCCACGAAACGTGTGAGGGGTGTGCCACATGAAAGGGCGGGCGGCATGCGAACCATGCCACTGGGGCCTTCGGTGGAGGTCCCTATGGGGCCACGAGGCGTGTGAGGGGTGTTCCAAAGTGAGGGGAGGGACGGGAGGATGGAGGAGCGGGAGAAGGAGGAGAGGAGAGGAGAGGAGAGGGCGCGGGGCACCGTCGCTTCAAAACGAGTACCCGACACCACAGGATGGTTGGGAAAAACTCTGAAGGGGTGTTTTTTTGTGCGCTTCCCGAGGGTGGCGGAGAACCCTCCCAAAAACCACCGAACAGCTCCCTTGAAGGGTGTTTTTTTTGGGAGGGGTCTTGAGGGGGGGCGCGATAATTGTTGGAACAACAGTTTAAGACAACCCCCTTCAATGACAGTTTTTAGGGGGTTGTCCTGGGGAGGCTGGGGAAACCTACCTAACAACCTTTAACATATTCCCCTCGAGGCTTTGTGTTTTTTTTTGGGGGGGGGTGGGGGGGGGCGGAGGACCCCCCCCCCCCGTACCAAACAGAAACCCTCAAAGGAGGTTTGTTGGGGGGTCCTGGGTTAGGAGAACTTCCCCCTCAAAACACCCGCCTGGAAACCCAGGGTCCTGGGAGGTCGGAGAGAGCCCACCCAACATCTTTTAATCCATCCCGAGGGGAGATTTTTTGGGGGGTTCTGGGGGGCCAGACAACCTCCCCAGCATCTTTTTTTAACGCCCCCTTCAAGGTTCCCTTGGGGGTCCCAGGGGTTTCTGACGAATTGCGATGTTGTGGGTTTCGTTGGACTTTTCCTGGGAACTCATTGAAAACACCCCTCACGTGAGTTTTGGTTCTCTGGAAGGGCTTTCAAAAGAGTTCAGAGGGCTTTCGTATCTTTTTCCAACCAGAGTGATGCTTGAACGTGTAGCACCCCAGAATGCCCTTGAACAGTTGCCTAGCTCTCCCCGCCTCCTGGGCTCCAGGGAAAACCTTCCAAAGACCCTTGGGAAGGGGGTTTTCTGGGTTGGCCCCGTGATCCTTCCGGGGTCCTGAGGATCCCCAGGAATCTTCAGGATCCGATTGGGTTCTTCGGAGTTGATGATTATTCCTTTGGCTTCCACCGGATCCCTCAGGAACCTTACCCAGAGATCCTCCATGCTCCGGGGGTATCTTGAGTTGTTCAGAGACTCTTTGACGATTCCACAGGGTCCCTCGGCTCCTCATGATCCCTTTGTGGGTTTTATGATTCTTGAGGATACCGTCAGGGGTCCCCAGGGGTCCTCAGGAAAGGATTCCCAGGGATTCTGGATTCCTCACGTTGCCTCGGGATCCCTCGGGACTCCTCAGCAGTCCTGACGACTTTTTATGGGTCCTCAGGGGGATTCCAGTGAGTGGGATCCCCTTAGGATTCCTCAGGGCCCCCCAGGTCTCCTCTGGATTCTGCAGGAATCTTCGGAATTTTCCAGGTACCTTGCGAATCCTTCGGGACGCCTCGGGATCCCTGATGGTTTTTCGGGACCCCCCCAGGATTCCTCATGATTCCTAAGCGGTCCTCTAGAATCCTGGTGGTTTGCCCGGATTCTTCAGGATTCGTCCGGAATCCTCAGGGCTCCACAAGTTTCATCTGGGTTTGTCAGGACCCTTTGGGATCCGCAGGATTTCTCATAGGGTCGTCAGGATCCCAGAGGAATCTTAGGAATCCTTTTTGGGTTCCTCAGGATTTCTGAGGTGCTTTCAGTATCATCTGGACCCTCGAGGTCTCTAGGGATGCTCAGGGTTCCTCCTGTGGGTTCCTCAGGACTCCTTTTGGGTATCCCAGGACTCTTCAGAATCGCTCAGGAATCTTACTGAGTCACCCCCTTTCCCAAGGGATCCGACGGTTTTCTTGGAATGCCTTAGGGTTCCTCCGGATTCCTTTGGTTTCCTCAGGAACCTTGTGTGATCCTCAACATTATTTTGGGTTCTCCCATGGAATTCTGAATATTCCTTAGGGCTGTTTTTATGCTCTGTGATATTCCAGAGGAATCCTCCGCATTCCCAAAGTTTAGGATTCCCCAGGATCCTTCAGGAATTCTACAGGTGTGTTCAGTATTCCTCAGCATTCGAAAGGGGTCATCAGGGTTCCTTTGTTTTCCTCTGGACTGTCAGGAGCCCAGCGGGATTCTTCAACATCCAAGTGCCTCCTCCACTTCATGTCACCCCTCCCCATCCATGTCCACTCCCCCACCTCTTCCTCTCTCCAACCTCCTTTTGCCTCCCGCTTTGTGGCTGCAGTTTCGCGACGCCCGCTCGTGACCACGGCACTTTGGCAGTCCAGCGGCTTCGGGTGGCCCTTCCGTGACGCGACAGCCGCTTGTGGGACTGCTTGCGCGGCGGAAGAAGAAATTGCCCTCCATCTGCTCTTCCTCCTCGCCTTCCTCCCCCTGCCCCTCCTGCCCCTCCCTGCCCCTCCTTCCCCTCTGGCCGTTCTCCAAGCGACAATTCTGCACGATTCGCGTCTGAAACCCTGGCCTTCAGAGCTGACGGGAAACGGGACGAAGAGACACATCTAGGGACGCAGAGCGAGCAAGGGGGTGGCCTTGGAAGGCCTCTTCGGGCCATCCCTGGGTGCCGCGTGGGGACGAGGGGACGAGGAGGAGACGGAGGAGGAGGAGGAGGAGGAGGGGGGGGAGGAGGAGGAGGAGGAGGAGGAGGAGGAGGAGGAGGAGGAGGGAGGAGGAGGAGGAGGAGGAGGAGGAGGAGGAGGAGGAGGAGGAGGAGGAAGGAGGAGGAGGAGGAGGAGGAGGAGGAGGAGGAGGACGAGGAGGACGAGGAGGACGGGGACGCGGATGAGGACGAGGACGAGGAGGACGAGGACTAGGATGAGGACGACGCGGACGAGGACTCATGGAACCATTTAGAGGTATTCTTGCGGTTGCTGCTGCTGCTGGTGCTTTCTGGAAGTTTGGGGGCCATCTTGGAACCCTCTTGGTAACCCTGGAAGGCTTCTTGGGATCATATTGGAGGCCATCGGATACAGGATGGGGGGGTCTCCAACTCAGCTCCCCCCTCAGGAGCCGGCAAACCGCTTCTTGGGGCTCTCTTGGCGCGCTCTTGGGCGCTCTTGGGGCGGTCTTGGGGCCGTTTGGAGCATCTTGGGAGCCATCTTGAGCCAGCTTTGGCTGTCTGAGCCATCTTGGAGGTCATCTTGGGCTCCCTGAGGCCGCTCGGGGGCCTCTTAGGGGCCTCTCGGGTGCCTCTTGGGGCCCTCTTGGGACCCTCTTGGGGCCCTCTTTGGGCCCTCCTGGGAACCCTGGAAGGCCTCTTGGGGCCATCTTGAAGGCCATCGATCAAAGGAGGAGATGGTGCAACGTTCAGTCCCCCCAAAGAGGCCCAAATGGGGCCAAAACCTTAGTAAAACCAAAGATTTTGGCTTCCTCGCCGAGGCCGTTTTGGACGCCCTGACACCTCGCGGACCCCTCCGAAAAAGTCCAGGGGATGGGGTAGGGGGTGGGGTGAACCCCTCCCTGTAGGGGAAGAGGGCTTTTTGGAAGAGGGAAGAGGAATCTCGTTAGACCACCTGCGCCCAGAGGGCTGGTGGCATTCGGTGCATAGGCTTGCAAGTTGCAAGCTGGCTGTCGCGATTTCCCGGTGCGCTCGACGCAATCCCACACGGAGGGCCGCAGTGGTCGCCTATCCTCTTCCTCGGTGCGGCATCGGGGAAGCGCTGCGCCGCCCCTCTCGCGTCTCGTTGCTGCCGCTGCGCGAATGTTATTCGTGTGCTTGGCTGTGTGACCGCACGGGGCTCTTGGGTACGCAAGAATTTGTTGCCTGCTCTCCCGTGCCCTGGTTAGGTGCACGAGCTTGCCAATTGCAGGCTGGTTTGCGCGTTCGTCCTCCTCCTTTCTTCCTCCTCTTCCTCCTTCTTCTTCCCATCTCTCTTTCTCTCTCTTGAGAGAGAGAGAGAGAGAGAGAGAGAGAGGACGATGAGGATGAGTTGGGGAAGCTTCCAGACGGAACTTGGCTCCCCATTGTTATCGAGCAGGGCTCCGAGCTGACACCCTGTGTCCACGGCAGGTCTGCATCGGACGTGTCCTCGTCTGGCTTCTCGCTCCCTCCCTCTTTCCCTTGCCCTCGCCCGCCTTCTCCCTTCTCCCTCCTCCCTCCGCATCCCTCGCCTCTCCCTCCCTCCTTCCCCTCCTCCTGCCCTCGTGCCTCCTGCCTCATCCCTTCTGTCGCTTCCCCCCCTCCGCCCCCTCCCTCCTGCCTCCGCACCCTCCCCCTCCACACCCCCCCTCCCGCCCTCCCTCCCCGCCCGTCCTCCGGCCCCCGCCCGTCCGCACCGCCCTCCTCCCCTCGCCCCCCCTCCTCCCCTCCCTCGCCCCTGCCCCTCCTGCGCCACCGTCTCCCCCCCTGCCCCTCCACTGCTCCCTCCCGCGCCCTGGCCCCCCGCCTCCCTTCCCTCCCCCTTGGCCCCTCGGCCCCTCCTCCCCTGCCCCTCCACTGCTCCCTCCGCGCCCTGGGCCCCCCCCCTCCCTTCCCTCCCCCTGGGCCCCTCGGATCCTCCTCCCCGCCCCCCTGCGCAGGAGGGATGTCCCCCCTGCGAGACGAAGTGCTCGGAGCCGATGTGCATGCTCGAGTGCCCGAGGGCGCAGCCCTGCCACAACGCGTGCGGCCGGGCGGGGGCCTTCCCCTCCCCAGGGGGTCGAGCAGTGGCGAAGCGTCCCAGCTCGCCTGCAGGCCTGCCGATTCATGTTCTGAGAACCCCTTGTGGTCTGCACGACCTGTTCTTAGATACTCTTTCTGGCTGAGACTGCCTTGCTTGAACTCATCGGGCCTAGGCTCTAAGAGCACTTCTGTTGTTCTTACAGCAGTTGGGGGTTCTAAGGACATCTCCTGGTAGCCCCATGGGAATGCCTGGACGGTCGGTCCCTGCTCCAAGGGGGTCCACTGGGGGCCCTGACCACACCGTGCGATGAGTCGGTGGGGATTCGGGGTCACCGCACGGTTTTGGGACTCGGGTCGTTTTCCGAGGATGTCTCGGGCGACGGGCCTCCAGGGTCCCAAGACCGTGCGGTGACGGACCGTGCGGTGCGGTCTTGGGGGATTTCGAGGTCACCGCACGGTCTGTCACCGCACCGTTTCGGGACTCCAAAGTTCGGGTCGGGCGAAAGGGGGGGTTTGGGAAAGGGGGGGTTACGAAATCTGCTGCATGCAGCTGGTTTCGGCCCCGCCGCGGGGCCCACTCCTCGATACATGGGCGCCTCCCGGCGCCGGGAGGCGCCGGGAAAATCAGCTACGTGAGCTGGTTCTCAAACCCCCCCTTTGCTATCCCCCCCTTTCGCCCGACCCGAAAAGTCCAATCACGGGAGCCGTTCCCAGGCTTCCGACGCATCGGGGAGTTCCGCGCGGAGCCCCTCCGTCATTGTCGGCCTCTGGAGGCCGTCGTCGCCGGGCCCCAGGGCTGCAAGACGATGGCTCGGGCTGCGCGGCTGGCTCTGGGGCAGGGGCGAAGTCGGGCCTGTCCCTCTACAGGAAGAAAATGCAGAAATAATCAAACACATTGTATGGGGACGATCTTGTGAATATTTTTCCATTTTTGCATATTTGTGACTCTTCTTAATTTTTCCTCGAAGATTCCCCTGTAGGGGGGCAGGCCCGACTTCAGGCAAGGGTCGGGGACTTCTGGGGACCACCGATGGCAAAGTCCAACACGTCGGGTCGCTGGGCCCATCTGTCCCTCCGAAGGGGAGGTCGATGGTTCGCCCTGGTAATTGCAGCTCCAGTTTCGGGAGCCCGCCGATGACCTGGGGGGGTGTAACGAGGGGCTCTCTCGTTGGCTCAATAGCAGGAGCCTTCATCTGGCGCGTTGACAGGCAAGTGTTGTTCCTCCCTTTTCCGTCCTCCTGCCTCCCCCCTCGTCCTCCCTCCTCCCTCCTCTTCCAGTCTCGGTTCGAAAGCTTTGCTCAGAGCGAGCCCTGACGCCAAGCGCCCCGCATCAATTTTTGCTTCGCGAGACCGGACACGGCCCCTCCCAGGCCGTGACAGATTGGCGTCGCATCCGTTCAATGCCGCGCGCGCGCGCCATGGCTCCACAAGGCCTCCGCCGTGCGCCCCCTGCACCACGGCAGCCCCACACCACCAGGCAAAGGCCGCCAAAAGGCAAACGAAAAGGAGATGGAGAAGGTGGCAAAAGACGCTCAGGAGGAGGAGGGAGGTGGTATTCTGACCCGGGACCCCCCCCAGGACCCTCCCCGGGACACCCCCCCAGGACCGCCCCCGGGCTTCCCCCGGGAGCCCCCCCCCCCCCGGCCGGGGAAGGGAAGAAAGGAAAGGGGAAACCCTTCGAGTCAATTCACTTTTACGCAGGAGGAAGAGATGAAGGAGGAGGAAGAGAGGATGAGGAGGGGGAGGAGGAGGAAGAGGAGGAGGAGGAGGAGGAGGAGGAGGAGGAGGAGGAGGAGGAGGAGGAGGAGGAGGAGGAGGAGGAGGAGGAGGAGGGGGAGACGAACGAGAAGGAGACGGAGAAGGTGGGAAAGGGAAGGAGGCACGGACGAGAAGAACAACCCATTCCACACGCCGACAAGGGTCGGCGGTTTTTGCCAATGCGTAGCTCCTCAGTACCAAAGGGAGAGCCAAATCTACCGCCTGGCAAATTGGCCCACTCTGTAACTACCCGCGGGGGCGACCACACCCAGCAAAGGAAAGTCTGGGCTGGCACTTCGGCCACCCCATCTCCCCTGTGCAGATGGTGCGACCACGAAGAAGAAACGAGCATGCAGCGTGGAGGTGCCCTTGCTGGGAGGCCGAGAAGACCGCCCTCAAAACCGTCATCACCGAGTAACAACGGCGAGATCTCCCGCCGCCTGCTTGGCACTTTTCGGCATGCTAGAACACGACCCTGGTCTTCTCCATCTACAGGTTGCCTCGGCCGACGACGAGCTTCCACGGCCCATCCCGACACAGGACTCGCAAGGGGACTCGCATCAAGAGTATGCCGGTGACCAAGGAGCCCGATGGGTTGATGTTGCTACGGAGGCTGCCTGCTCACGCCAAGCCCATCCCCTCCTGGCCAGAGCGGGTTTTGGCGTTTACTACGGTCCAGTCAACCGGCTCAACTACTGCCCGCGTGCGCGGCGTGGCGCAGTCGGCGCGGCGGGCCGAAAAAGCTTGCCATGCTTCACCTTGTCGTCGCGGCAGAACGACCGCTGCGTGTGTTTGTCGACAGCCAGGCGGTCGCTGACAGATTTGAAGACATCCAATGGGGTAGTCCACCGAAGCGTCAGGTGTCCCAAGCTGACCTTTGGCAGAAAATCCGTGGTACCCTGCTGGCAAAACCCGTCTTCTTCAAAGTACAGACGGTGAGGTGGCATCTGGGGGGGGGCAAGGCATCAACGGAGGGCGCATCATTTTTGTCGCGGAAGCTTCCAACCGTCGCGCCGATGAGCTCGCCACCGCGGGAGCGCGGCTCCATGGTGCCATCCGACGCCCGATTGATGCTGCCAAATGGCGGCGCAGGTTTACCACTGTCCTTCGCAGCGTGGCCGTCGCCACGTGCGATCGGCGACATCGGGCGCCCCCCCTACCTCACAGGAGGGCCGGGTCTTCCAGGTTCGAGTTCTAAGGTGGCACCGGACCTTCTCATCTTCGGCCTGGAGGGGCAGGACAAAGGTGCCCAAGCAAGGAGGGCCACCTCCGCCGGTCGGTCCACAAGGGCAGGGCCACTTCGACGATCTCGACGTCCCTTGGCCGCCACAGCGGGACGACTCAAAGGGGGGGACCTCAACCCGCCCAGGCTCGGGGCCTCGCTAAACGATGGCGGAGCCAACGACCTCCCTATGCAGAGACACTTCCTAAGCGAAGACAGCGCAGTCGAGGGCCACCCCGACGTGCGCAGCCATGCATTCTCTCTCGGCCAGTCGACGACCGCCCAGAAGCGTCAGAGCCTGGTGGTTGCCCCGAACCCCCACCTCAATCCCCCGTTCGGCCCACCAGGGTTCCGACGGGGGTGGCCGGGAGGCGAAGGGTTTACTGCCGCCGCGCCAGCGGCACCACCCAACGCATTGACGCTAGGCATGCCGTCGCGCAGCATTCTTTGCGGCGAACAGTCAGCACCAAGGTGGCCGCGAAACCACCCTCATCGCCAGCATACGTGCGGTCCATCAGCGAGCTAAACAGGTGGCATTTTCGCTTCACCTGCTTTAGGCACAGTCAGCCCCGCTGTTCGACAGGTTCCAGCGAGCGCAAGAGGGGTGGAGTGGCCCGCAGCAGGCCTTGCGGTCGGCAGTGGCCCTGAGGGAGTCCCTGTACGGCGACCTCCAAGCCTTTATTCATGGGAGGAAGAACCACCCGGACCCGATAAGTGGCGTTTACTGAACAGCCCTGCCCCGTTCGATTCCTTCCTTGGGGGCGTTTGCTAAACGGCTTCGCTTGTCTGGGTGATCATTATGGGGGTGGATTTTCTGCCCTCCATCTATCGACGCCCAACGTGCGGCACACCAGTGCCAGCACCCTTCCCCACCAAAGGGCCGCGTGAACCATTGGCCCTTGCCCCGTCGCCTGCTCCCACGGGGCCTTGGCGGGGGATGCACCACGGCGGTGCCGCTCACTTGCCGGCGCGCTTGCACGGGTGGCGCTGTTGCCGTGGGTGCGCACACGGGCCCTTGCGCAGCCTGATCACTGCATGCCCGCTTTGCTTCACAGCCGGGGCCCACCAGGCCACTCCAGGAGGAGGAGGAGGAGGAGGAGGCGGAGGAGGAGGAGGAGGAGGAGGCGGAGAAGGAGGAGGCGGAGGAGGAGGAGGAGGAGAAGGAGGAGGAGGAGGAGGAGGAGGAGGAGAGGGAGGAGGAGGAGGAGAGGGCACCGCGCCGCCCCTGTTTCGAGGGCGGCGCTTCCCGCCTTGTGGCAGGCAGGCCTGCGGGGCGTCGTTGCAGCCTCGGGGCCGGGACGGACCTGCTGTGCGGAGTGTCGCGCCTTCCTCCCCCTCGCCTTCCCGCCTCCGCCTGCCTCTGCCCGCCCCTGTCCCCCCCTTTCTCCCTCCTCTCCGCCTGTCTCCTGCCTCCTTCTCCCCCGTCCCCCATCCCTCCCCTATCCCCCCCCCCTTCTCCCTCCCTTCCCGCTTCACTCCTCCGCGGCCGCAGTCCCGCCACAGGCTGGGGTGCGGACGTGCCCATGGCACCTGCCATGCGTGGGGCGGCGGGCAAGCGAGTTGCGGCGGGTGGATGCGGGGGGGCAAGTGCGAGACAAGGGCCACCCGTCCTGTCATCCAGGGCGAGCGAGCTCCCTCCCGCACCATGCGAAGCATTCCGGCGCAACTCGATACTGTGACTGGCGCGCGCTCCCACCCAGCGAGCGGAAGGTGTTCGCGTGTCGGGCCGGACGAAAGGGGGGGATTGGGAAAGGGTGGGTTACGAAATCTGCTGCATGCAGCTGGTTTCGGCCTCACCGAGGGGCCCATTCCTCGATACATAGCCGCCTCCGGCGCCGGGAGGCGCCGGGAAAATCAGCTACGTGAGCTGATTCTCAAACCCCCCCTTTGCTATCCCCCCCTTTCGCCCGACCCGAGCGTGGCCCTGCGCTCGACGATTCTGGCGAGGGAGAAAAACAGAACGTGCCGCACACGGGCGAGATCGGACTCACCGAAGAATCATGGCGCTGCGCGGCGGCGAGAGCTCAATCTATCTAGCCTTCGTCTCCTGCGGCCAGATTGCCCATCAGTCGTTGAAAGTAGGTATTTTTGGAGTCCCAGATTCCAATCTACTTTAAGCGCACTTCTACTTCAAGAGTCGAGAGGTTTTCCGTCTTCCCTCCTCGTCAGGGGGCGGGTGGAAACCCAATCCATTTCGAACGCCGTCCTACTTCATGGTTCTACCGTCTTCCGACCGATGGGTGCCTGATGAGAGTCGCGAACATACTACATGTGCTGCGCCGAAGCAGCACTAGTATTTTCACGCAATATCTGCCTGGCGCCAGGGTGAGAACAGCATTTCGCCAGCTCGCTCGTGGCCCACCAGCTGCCGTTTTCTTGTGATTTGGTGACTCGGCGAGCCAACCATACCCGCCGCTCCCAGAAACGGGAATGCCGCTTCCACGCGAAATCTGCACGAAGTTTGAGCGAAGCCGGCCCCAAACGACTTGGCGAGTGGAGAATGTGCGCCGCGCTCAATGGGGAGCCCCACTTCCAGTCGAAGTCTGCACGGCGCTTGGGCGAGAGGTACGTTTTGCCTGCTCACGCAGGAGCTGAACTCTAAGAATGAATGACTGCGACACCGAGGCGAGAGCGACATTGACATGTCGCCCTTTCGCGCGCGATTTGTGTTCTCAAACTCTGGCCCCGCATCTTTCATCGTCAATGGCAAAACTTGAGTGCTGAGGGGGACAACGTAGCTCTTGTTGTTGTAATGGTGGGGCTGTCAACAGATAGCCGCGCTGTTTCTGCCCGCTGGCGATCTGATCCTAGCCGGCATTTTCTCTTGGGCTCAGCTGACACTTTCGGTTTATTTTGGCATGTGTTGCCGTTCGATGGTGCGCGCATGTATCTAGCCCTTGTGCCCCTTCAGCGCAGGGACTTTGTGTCACCTTCATCTGCGCGAGAAAAGCATACGCAAGTTTTGAGCCCGAGGATGGGCGGACATGTTGGCACTTATTGACACACATGAGCTCATGGTTCGAAATATACTTAGTGACACAAATGAGCTCAAACCCCCGTGCCGCCCATTCATTTCATCCTCTGGACGGCTCGGCCGACTCCGAAACATTCAAGCATTCAAGTTCAAGGAAGCTGCCCAGGAAGCCAGTGGATATGAGGCGGAACTTGTAGAGACAAACGAGGGGGTAGAGGTACAATTTCGCGCCCACGGGGGGCTGCATCCGAGTCGTTCGAAAAATTGTGTCCCAGTCCGGCACCACGCGGGCCCCCGCGCGGTTCGCCAGATCAGCGTTGGGTCTCCTGGGCCATATCTGCCAGCTGTCCCTGCAGCAAGACAGAGTGGGTGCACCGGGCTCTCGTTGCTCCTTGCTTCCTAAACCGCCAGCTCGTTTTACGCACCCGAATCTGTGCGAGGAAGGGCCCCCGCGTGGGTGAAGGGAAGCAGGTGCGAGCACCCAAAGTGCGACTGGAAGTGCAAGGCTCCGTCGACGTGCCCGAAGCCGACGTGCCGGAGGGCTCGGGGGGGCTGGGCCGGTCTGCCTCCAGGGCGAAGGGCGAGGGAGAGGGCCAGGTGGCGCAGGTTTCGGCTTTCTCTGGCCCTGCCCGCCGTTTCTTCCAACTGCCGACGCGTTGCCTGCCCCATCTTTGCATCCTTCACCTCTGCTACCTCTACCATCTCCTCTATGGGCCCTCCTCCTCCTCCTCCTCCTCCTCCTCTTTACCTCCTCCACCTTCTGTGTCCTTATCTTCAGGTAGATTGCCGTTCCTTGTCGGTCTCTAGGCGGGGTGCTGAACTGTGGCGCCTCATCTGTGCTTCGGTTGAGGACTCCGTCGGGTGTCGCGGATGCGACTTCAACCTCTTCTTTATTTTGCCGAATGTTGTATGGCATATTTGTGGGGTTGGCGCAGTAGTGCGGAGGGACAAAAGGAAGCGAAGCGGGAAGGGTGAGGGGGAGGAGGGAGGAGAAAGGACTAAGGGAGGGAGAGTCGTAAGGAAGGAGACGGACGGATATCAGGTATAAGGGGAATAAGCATAAAAGGAAAGGAGATAGTAAAGAAGGGATTTGGGACATAATCATAGCGGAGGGGTGGGGGGGAAGAAAGCGAAGGTATGGAAGGAAGGGAGTCAGGGAGAAAGTGATGGAGGGAAGAAAGGTAGGGAAGGGATGGAGGGAATGAGGAAGGGAGAGGCCTCCGTTTTCACAGAAGCGTCCGGGTGACAGATCCATACCGAAACCTCCCCACCTCCAGTCAAAACGCTGCGCCACGGCAGAGCGGGGGGAGGAACCAGCGCCTTCGGATGCAATTGCGAACTCTTCAGGCGTCATCATCCCAGCAATAGTCAGGAGGGGAAAAAACACACAGACACAATTAATCGTCGACTTCCCAGAAAAGATGGGAAAATATGGGAAGTGGGTGGGAAAACAAAGACCCAGAAAATATGGGAAAATATGGGGCATATCTTTATTTGTGTGTATTTATTTGTGTGTCCTGGGGCCCCTTCAAATAGTTCTCTTGGGGGAGCGTGCGCACTCTGGTACATCATCATACGCAGGGCCCCTTGGGCGCCGCGGTCCACAGGCCTGCAGAGAGCCCTAGTGCACACCCTGCCCCGAAGGCAACCGGCTACGGCCGGGCACCTCTCGGTAGCTTGCCGCTCCGGCGGTCCTGGCGCGCCAAGCTTCGGCGAGACACGCTGTCCGCTCCCTGGTCCTCCCCCACGGCAGCGGGCCCTCCCCCACGTCAACGTTCCGACCTCTTCCCTGCCTCCTGCCCCGCAGAGCGGAGCGCCACGCCATCCGCTCGCAGGGCGCAGCATGTCGCTGGGGCCGCCGCCGCGGCACGCTGAACAGCAATCCCGGACCGCAATGCGATCGTTTTTTTATTCATTGGTTTGCCAATCGGCGCGGGCCCCCCTCCCCCCCCCCCGGAGTGGACCTTGGCTGTTTTTTGGCGCCTGTCTCGACCAGGTGGAGTCTCCCCCATGGCACGCACGGTTCCAAGCAGTCGCACTGAGCAGATGTCTGGAGCCAGACCGTCCCCCTCCCCCCCCTTCCGCCCACTGGAAACGCCGAATAGAAAAACGCTCACAGCCTCGGCTGCACGTGACAGAGACCTTTCGCCAGGGTGACATTTGGTGTGGGCACACCAGGGGTCTCGAGATTCAGGAGGGGAGAAGCACGTCGATCCCCAGCAAGTATGGGAAAATATGGGGAGTGGGGGGGAAGGCAATAGCCCAGAAAATATGGGAAAGTACGGAGGAATCCGGTATCCTGTTATTTGTGTGAATTTATTCACGTGTCCCTGGGCCCCGTTAAGAGTAACCTTTCGCCAGGGTGACCTCTGGTGTGGGCACAACAGGGGTCTCGAGATGGCTGCATGCGACGCGGCAGCAGCGGCCCGCGTGCTCGGGCTTGCCTTAAGTCGGGCCTGTCTCTCTACAGGAGGAGTGTTCAAAAATAGTAATAAAATAGTATGGGGACGATTTTTTGATTTTTTGACCATGTTTGAATACAAGTTTTACTATTTTGAATTTTTCCTCGAAGATCCCCCTGCAGGGGGACAGGCCCGACTTAAGGCTTGCCTCCCCGCGCCTCCCGAAAGCCGCGCACCAAAGGTCCTTGCCTGGGGTCGCTGATTTCTCTTGGAACGTACCACTCGAGGAAGCCTGGACTCGGGTCTGCCGACGTTCTTTGACGAGCGCGTCCTGGACTTTGACGGCCCAGATTTCGTGGGATGTTTGCAGCGGGGGTTCGCGTCAGCTTTCCGATGGGGCCTCGTCGTTTTCACGATGGTCCCGTCGGGCCAGCCCGAGTCCGCCGTACCCGAGTCTTACGTCTTCCCGATCTTTGTCAGGCTGGACGAAAGTCAGAGCGTGAATTACCTACCCCGCTTTCGCTTCCAGGCAAAACCAAGCCATACCACGCGCCTCCTCGTCAAGCGTCCTGACCAGTACAGGCTGCAATTTGGCATCGTTTGGTATCTCTTGGAAGCGAGGGTGGTCAAAAACGAGGTAGGTTTGTTTTCCCCCTAGAATGGTTGGGATAGGAAAAGGGAGGGTTTACGACCTCTGCCGCGTGCAACCGGTTTCCGCCCCGCCGCCGGGCCCATTCGTCGATACATGGTCGCCTCCTGGCGCCAGGAGGCGCTGTGAAAACCAGCTGCGCGAGCTGATTCTCTGCCCTTCCCTTTGCTACCGACTCTTGCTTGGGGTCACTCTTGCGTGTAGCCGACAACTGAAAGTCGGGCATGTCCCTGGGCAGGAGGAAAATACAAGAATACCCCCAAAATAGTCTGGGAGCGAGTTTCCGATGATTTTCCACTATTTTTGATAATTGTTGGGCTGTTTGTCATTGTTCGTCCCAAATCCCCCTGCAGGAGGACACGCCCGACCTCACGACAACTTCGCTTCGGCCGCGTGGGGGCTGCGGGGGCGCCGCCGGCTCCAAGTCTGGGAGGCCGCCGTCGGCGAGTCGTCGCCGTGGATGCAGTCTCCGCGGGCCCAAGCCGGGCCGCGTTGCTGCGAGGGGCAGTTAGAGGGGAAGGAGAAGGCGGAGGAGGAGGAGGAGGAGGAGGAGGAGGGATGAGGAGGAGGAGGAGGAGGGATGAGGATGAGGAGGAGGAGGAGGAGGATGAGGAGGAGGAGGAGGAGGAGGAGGAGGAGGAGGATCGCCTGAGAGAGATCGCCTGAGAGAGAGGCGATGTGTTGGACCTACAGAAACGGATCGTCGGCGGCGCAGCGTGCCGGAAGGCCTCGGAGGCGAGGAAGAAGGGGCGCCCCGCCGTCTGCCCCGAGGCTGCTCGCTGGAGCGGCGAGCAGCTGTGCCTGCCCCCGCCCGCGCAGGAGCCCGCGCAGCCGCCGCAGGAGGCGCGCCGCGCCGGCACCGCCGGCGGGCTCGAGCACGCTTGTCGCCGGCACGGTGGACAGCTCCGCGAGCGCTGGGCAACCCGGCCCCGACGGGGCCCCGGTCGCCCTCTGCTTAACGGGCGAAGAACGGTATAAGATAAACTTTTTCGTCGTCGGGGACACCTGCCCCTGGGCGGTTGGAAAGTTTATACCCTTACGGTGGCACCGTAGGGGTATAAACTTTCCAGCCGCCCAGGGTTTTATACCGTTCTTCGCTCGCTGATCTGCGAGAGCGTGAATATCACGGAGAAGATAGTTAGGCCACTGGTGTTACGCCGCCTGCGTGGCCGGCAGGGCGTCAGGTGGGCTGCGTCGCGAGGCGCAGTGCGAGGGCGAGTTCCTGGTCGACGACGGTGCGTGGATGTGCGGGTACAGCCTTGGTGTTCCGGCGGAGGCTGTCATGGACGTGGTCATTGGATTTGCCGAGGGCCGTCACTGCCATCCATGCTTTGCCGCGCAGCTTGGCCTCTCCTCCCTCCTCTCCTCCTTCCCCCACGTCGCGTCGGTCGCCTCGTCCTCGTTCGCCTTTCTCTCTCGTTGCCGTCCCGTCGCGTCCCCGTCTGTTGTCGTCATTGGCGCGCCTGCCCTTCCTGTGAAACCACGTGTGCTTGCGTGGCATGGGCTGCCCCCCCTGGTGCGCGGGCCCGCCCTGCAGCTCCACCCCGCGGGCTGCGGGGCCGCGGCGCACGCGCCAGCTCGCCGCCCCAGGGTTGCCCTTCCCGCGCTTGCTCTCCCGTCTGTGCTTCCCTGCGCTGCCGCGTCGGTGCACGTGCACGGCAGGGGCCGCCGCCCCTGGCGCGTGGGGCCCGCCCTGCGCCTCCGCTCCACGGCTGCGGGGCCGCGGCACCTGGGCCGGCTCGCCGCCCAGGGCCAGGGGCAGCCTTTTTTGCACGCAGTTGTTGCTAATTTTCTTTTGTGGCGCGCCCCGCCTTCGCGTCGGGCCACGCGCCGCCCGAGCCTCCGCGGCCGCGTCGCCGGTGTGGCGCAGGCGGGCAGCGTCCTCCGGTTGCGGTGCGTTTCGCGTCGGATCGCTTCCGTTCCCTCTCTCCTCCCCTCTTCCCCCTTCCTCCGTGTCTCCCCAACTGTTATCTAGGGAGGGAAAGCCACCCGGACCCGATACCTGGCGTTTACGAAACGGCCCTGGGAGTTTACTTAACAGCCCTGCCCTGTTCGATTCCTTCTCTGGGTGCGTTTAATACACGGCTTCGCTTGTCGGGGTGGTTATTATGGGGGTGGATGTTTTGCCCTTCCTGTTACGGTCGAGCATCTGATTCAAAAGCCCCCCCCCCACGAAAAGTTGGGGCAGCGTTTCTGAGCCAACTTCCTGAGCAGCTGGCCCAGTTTCTTGAGCTCTTTCGCCCCTCCAGCGTCAACACGAACACTTGGCCCAGGTTTTGTTTACGAGATGTCAGGGGAGCTGGCCCAGGTTTCTTACATGATTTAACGGGCGAAGAACGGTATAACATAAACGGTTTCGCTGTCGGGGGCGCCTGTCCCAGGGCGGCTGGAAAGTTTGTCCCCTTACGGTGGCACGTCAAGGTATAAACTTTCCAGCCGCCCTGGGGCAGCGCCCCTGGCGACGGAAAAGTCTATGTTTCACCGGTCTTCGCCCGCTAAATGATGGTTTGTTGATCCGATTTCTGGTCGCGTGTCATTGCTAGCCGCCGCTGCCACGGTTGTGCGCTGTCGATCTCTTTGACGCTCGGGCCTCGCGCTCCCTCTGATGACGCGCGCCGTCGTCCCCTGAGAGTTTGTTTCGATCCGTCGTTGGCCACCAGCGGTTCTCCGTAGTGCACGATGCGCTCTACCGACTGGCCGAGGAGCGTGGCCGCGGCGAGCCTCGGCTTTCGCCCGCCCTGCCCGCCCTGCCAGAGCGGCTTGCGGAGTATGTGTTGGCCACCTCTTGAGTGTCCTGCAGCTGGGCTCGAGCTAAGCGATGTTTTGGCGATTTCGCGGACCGTTATCGTTGTGAGGTCGTTTTCGCAACAACGGCAGAACGAATACACAACGAAGGGAACCAAACACATAACGAAAACGAGAAGCATTGTGTAGCTCGAGCCTTGTCCTGCAGTGCTTGTACAGTGCGTGTGTCGTGCCAGCCGCTAGCCGGCCGCATGTGGCATGGTGTTTCTCGGTCCTACCTCTCTCTTCTCTCCTCTCCGTCCTCTTCTTCGTCGGCCTGTTCCAGCATGGTGGAGCTGCATTCCCCATTAGTTGGACAGCTTGCAAGTTTCATCATCGGGCCTTCAAGCAACAATAACAAATGAAGATCCCCACAGTTGTTCTTCAATTCGGTGTTGCCTCAGGGTTTCTTCTTTCGTTGGAGAAAGAACAGTTGGGCGCGACGTTCCTTATCCGAGGCGGGCCTCGGCGTTGCTTGGTCCCCCGGCTTTGTTTCTTGCATTTGTTCTCGGGTTCCCTGGTCTCGTTCTTTGGGCCCCCTGGTCTTCTTCGGTTCCCCGGTCTTGTTTTTTCCTTCCATTCTTGGGTTCCTTGGTCTTGTTTTTCGAGTTCCCTGGACTTTTTTCTCACGTTCCGTGGTCACTGCAGCGCAAAGCGCTGCCAAACAGGGCAAAGCATTGCCAACCACTGCGTCGCAACGCCAAGTCATGCTAAGCAATGTCAAGCAGCGCAAGTCAATGCGAGTCAATGCAACACACTGCCAAGCAACAGTCCCAACAATGCCACGCATCGCCAAACAGTGCCAAGCTGCGTTTTGGATCGCATTGCTTTGCAATGGTCAGAAGGGTTTTGAGTTTCTGCGGAGGACACCAGACCCTTCATTCGCGTCGCGCTCAATCCATGCTTTCGGGCACGGTTCAGTCTACGACATACTGTTTTTCTTGCCTCGCGTACTCCTAGTACATGAAAGGTACCGAGTGGTGCGGCCGGTCTATCTCTCCCCTTCCTCCTCCTCTGTTCCTTGTATGTTCGGGTCTAGTGCCCCTCTCCCCCCCCGCAGAAAACCCACTCTTCGGCGGTGCCAGGGGATGCCGTGTGGCTGGCGAGCGAGTCGGGATCCGGTGCGCGTGGCCCGTGGAGAGGACAGGGGACACCGTGTACAGCGTTGTGGCGGTGGAAGAGGAGGAGCAGGAGGAAGAGGAGGAGGAGGAGGA